ACAACAACAACAAACAACACATTCCATAAATAAATTTCTTAATTCAAATAAAGTCTTTGCCCTAGAAAATCAAACTTAAATTCTTACTACAGGAATATGTAAATAGTGGTCTCTATGTTAAATTTCCATTAAGTGATATAGAGAAAAATCACGTGCCCACTAATTGTCAAAAGTTTCTATTTATATGTTCTCGTCACATGGATGATATAAAAATTCAAACCACCGACCTTTTGGTTAGCAGTCCAATGTCTTAACCACAGAAGACAGAGTCAGAAAAGTGTGGCTTAAAGGTATAGAAATGAACAACTGACTTATTCTAAACCAAAGGTTAATTTCATCTTTCACATCTTTTGTTAATCTTAGTAAATTTATGTAAATGTGGGAGGGGGGAATCTCTTAAATAATGAGCAATATGTAAAACTGCTGTTTGGGAAACGCAAAATTACAGCTACAGAACATGCTGTAGCCAAATTGTGCCAATACTTCCTATACCTTCTTTTTGACACCTCTTAATAGAGTCGTACAAGCATCTGATACACATTAAATGGCACAGCCACTGAACTATAAACTTTTGAAAGGCCAGAGATTTAAATATCCGGTAAATGTTTATTAGATGAATGGATGGATGAAAGAACTAAAATGTTTGTCACCTGCAAGTTAAGTAAGGTCTAAGATTGAACAATTAAACCTGTGGCCATCATTACAAGTTGTACTGTGCTGTGAAATAAAAAAAAAGAAGCAGCCCATCTCTACATTGGGGCACAACTCAACCGCCCAACTTAGGACTGGACGCCACCAAGTGGATAAAACACAGAGCTCGGCGAAGACTGGGTTCCTAACCCCTCAGAACTGATGATATAGTTCAAAGGGAGCTGAAGCCAAAGAGAAAAGACCGCTGCGAGCAGTTCTGGACTAGATTATCTAGATGTGCTAGACAACTCAGGCGCGCTAGAATGGGCAATGAGCTAAGGTTCCATCTTATTCGTGGCCCGCCAACCTTAAAGAGACCCCGGCGTGTAAAAGGAGACTCAGATTGGGAAGGAGAAAGCATTTGATAACGCTAGGTCTATTCTCCACTCCGGAAAAAGCCCAGACATTTAAAGCTTCCTGACCTGGCTTGCCGCAATTCAGGTTTTTTAGGACCTCCTGCAGCTCCGCGCCACTCCCACTTCTCTTTTCAGGACCGCCTGGCTTCCCCAACTACTCTGTGGTCGCAGAACAATGGCGTCATCTAGCCCTACCTACCTCCCGGGCTCCGCCTCGCGCGCCCTCTCGCGCGCGCGCACTGCGCCACACGCCTTGCGCGAGGCGGCAGCTGGGCACCGCCATTTTGGCTGGTGGCCGTGGGAACACGCTGTGTGGTTCGGGAGTGAAGGCAAGAACTGACTTGGCCTGTACGCTCCCCTCCTCAAGGGGAACGTTCCCTCCAGGTATGTGAGTAGACTGTAGTGGTTTGGCCATTAGATGCTGTCTCTTACCTTGAAAAGACGGTAGGGACGTTCTCTGAGAGACTTTGGATAGGCCTCATGTGGTGTCAGTGGACACGGCAGCGGCGCGTGGAAGCGGGCTCGGGCGGGACATCTGGAACCGGCCGAGACCCGGCGCCTTTTGAGTACATTGGGGCGTCTTGCGCTTTCCCTTCAGCAGCCCCAGATCTCCGCCACTGTTGCGGTACTCCTGCTAGGAGCTACCGGAATGTCATGTCAGCGATGCACTCTCCACCGCTTCCACTCCCCCTTTTCCCCCGCTCCCACCTTGGAGCTAGACCTTCAGGAGAGGAAGGCACCTTTAGAACTTTAGAGCATCCCTGCTCTCCTCGCCCTTTTCCTGACACCGTAAAATGCTAATTTTTTCACCTGTGCGTATTTTACTGTGGAAAGTCGTGGGCTTTTCCACTTTTTGATGATTGTGGAATTAATCATGGCATCTTGACGCCTTGAAGTCGAATACTCCTTGTCCACTCCCAGTTTTTATAGAAATGATGGTCAGACGTTGCAAGTACTTTTCTCGTAGAGTGACGTGTACTGCAGTGGCTGTAATCGAGATTATCCGAAGTAGTCTACCAGTTGAATGCCTGTATCTTTTTTGGTGCACTTTTATAGCACTTGGCACTTTTCGGTGACTTGACCCTTCCCCTCCCCCTTTTTATATCTTAAAATACCCTTAAGATCAGGGATGGTCTCTTTAGTATTTGTGGTGAATGACTGCCAAGCCAAATTCCCATGCTCCCCAAACTATGTAAAGAATAAAACCTATTTTATTCTTTTTTGATGGGAAAGATGGTAAAAGTAGTTATCAAAACAACTTGTGTTTGATTTTTACCCTCTTCCCTGTAAGACTGATAACTGCTATAAGCGTTTATGATGATGGCATTTGCCTTGCAGTCATTTGTCCCATACACAGAGAATATTCATTCTATACCAGCCACCTGACAATGCTTGGTCATTGTTAACCAAGGGGCCTTATCTCCATTTGAACCAACCGGCTTTGTTTTTTCTGTTAAAAACTTTGTTCTCTCCTATTAAAAAAATTATTTTAGAGAGAATAGTTCACATAATTGCTTAGGGAGGAAAAAAAAAAGAGAAAGCAATATTGTTTAGTATCCCTTCTTAATGCCCTGAATCTCTTTGAAATCAGAGTTGTACATCACTCCTAGCTTATTATGTCTTTTATAAGACTAATAACCTGCAATAAAAATAGCTTAGAATGTTTTTTATGTGATTTGAAGCATAAGTTAACATCAGTTGTTAACAGCAACTTTTAAAGTGCTTTACATGGCATTATAGTAATTTTAGTCTTCCATTGCAAATACTTTCCATGTGTCTCTTACTTCCTTTTTTCCTCTCAGCTGGAAAAATGACAGCGAAGGTCATGGTTTGCATACCTGTTTGGAACGCAGTTTGTCTTCAGACCTAAAATATCTTCAGATCTTTGTTCCTGGGATCTGTTGCTATAATCTTCCCATCAAAGCTTTACTGTTGTATCTTTCTCATTGGAGAAGAAAAGGAGTATCCCTCCTCACTTCCTTGAAATAAATAGAGAAATGAATTAATAGTGTGTCCACAGTTGATTAACAATTAACAAAAAATCACTTTTCTTGAATGTATTACAATTTATCACTTTTTAAATAGTAATCACTTTGTTAGCTATCTATGGTATATTTTTCTATGAAAATCATCTATAGTCACTTGATTTTTTTCAAAATGGTTTGAAAAATTAGATGAAATATTTTAGTAGTTTGACAGAAATAAATCTTAAGGAATTTCATAGTAAAGGATTCATTCCTTGGGAGGGAATTCTCTTTCACAAAGTAATGTGTAAAACAGCATTCATTACTTAAAATGTGTGATGTCCAGTTTTATTTCTTTTGATAGCTTACTAAACAATGTTCACTTTTCTGTGAAGTTATAATTGCCAGAGTGGTGGGGCGGGGGGTAAAATCTCGACTTCAGCAGTTTTTAAAGGGATAAAAGTGAACTTGTTTGCTTGCTTAACTCTATGTTTATGACATGAACTTTTAGCTAGATTTTTTTGGTCTCCTTTTGGGTGTTATGTTTTCAATGCAGAGTTGAGTGGACACCTGTCATCATAAAATATTGATAACTTGGAAAATTAATGAAGTTGTTATAACCTGTGGGAAAATTATTTTTCTCATTCAGCAAATTTTGTGAGCCCCTACTATGTATGAGTTGGATCTGACTCGACGGCACCTAACAACAACAACAACTGTGACCTAAGCGCTGGTCTAGCCACTGAAATGAATAGGCAGAAATCTGCCCTCATAATGGAATACATTCTACTTGGGAGGAGTGTGTGTGTGTGTGTGTGTGTGTGTGTGTGTGTAGAAAATACATATATAGTAAAACCTATGAAAGCTGGAACTTGTTTAAGGCACAAACCTGTCAGAGAAGGAAAACTCAAGTAGTTTCTATTAATAGACAGCAATAGGAAAGTGGGAAAACTGCACCCTTTCAAAGGTGGAAAACTTGTGAGACCCTGAAAAACAGGGCAGTCCTGTTGAGTTTTGGCTTTCACAGGTTTCACTATACATGCTCAGAAAACCGAAAACAAACTCACTGCCATTGAGTCGAATCTGACTCATAGCAACCTCTCCTTGGATTTCCAAGGCAATATCACTACAGAAGTAGATTGCCCAGTCTTTCTTCGAAGGAGTGGCTGTTGGGTTTGAACCTGTGTGTGTGTGTGTATGCATGCATTATGTGCATATATACATTTTATAGTATCCCATATAGTAGAAAATACTAAGGAGAAAAGTAAAGAAAGGAAGAGGGATAGGACTAAGAAAAATAAACCAAATCCACTACCATCCAGTCAATTTTGAATCATAACACCCTATAGAACAGAGTAGAACTGCCCTGTAGGCCTTCTAAGGGTATAAGCAGACTGCCATATCTTTCTTCCACGGAGCTCCTGGTGGGTTTGAACTGCAGCCATTCAGTTAGCAGCTGTGTGCCTAGCCACAGCACTACCAGGGCTATAAAAAGGGTATATTCTTTTAATTGTATGGCTAAAGAAAACTCACTGAGAAGTAGACATTAAAGACCTGAAAGAGTGAGTCATGTAACTGTCTAGGGAGAATAGCATAGGTAGAGGCTGTGTGTGGCTAGAGCCAAATGAACAAGGGCTATTGTGGTTAGAGATGAGATCTGAAAATTAACAGAGTCTGATCATGAAGTGCCTCATTGGTTATTTTAAAGACTTTGGCTTGATACTCAGAGTGAGAAGGAGTGCCATAGCAGGATTTTAAGTAGAGAAATGACAATCTGATGGATACTTGAAAAGGATTGCTCTGGCTGCTATATGGAGAATATACATTTGAGGGTTGTAATAGAAGGAGACAAGTAAGAGCAGGGAGATCTCATAGGAAGCTATTACATCAGTGTAGGTGAGTGATGATTGTGGCTTGGACCAGAGTGGTGAGAGGCAGTCAGATTCTATATGTGTTTGAAGGTAGAATCTGCAGTGCTTCCTGTTGTAGAATGTAAAAGAAAGATGACTCCAAGAATTTGGGGCTGAGCAAATGGAAGAATAGAGTTGCCGTTTAACAGAATGGTCAAGATTTCTAGAGAAGCAAATTATGGTGAGAATTTCAGGAGCTCTGTTTTGAAGATGCCTGTTAGAATATCAAGAAAAGATGTTCCAGGAAGGTAGATAGATGTATAAGTCTAGAGTTCAAGATAGCAGTCCTGATTAGAGATAGAAATTTGAGAGTTGGCAGCATATAGATGAGATTTAAAGTCATGAAACCAGAGAACATTTTGGGGACTGAGTGTAAACAAACAAACAAAATGACTGAGTCAGAGCATTCTCAACGTTTAGAAGTCTGGGGATAGGAAAGAGTGACCAGAAAAGTAGGAAGAAAACCAATTGAGTACCAACTGTATCCAGGAAACCATGATTAAGAGTTTCTAATAGTGGTAATATTAATTTCTATCTAGTAATCTACATCAGATGCAGTAGACAATGGTCAGATAAATTAAAGACTGATAATTAACTATTTGATTTAGACACGGGAAGAATAAGCTGTTTTGATGAAATGCTGGGCACTAAACCTTGGGATGGATTCCAGAGACAGTAGGTAAAGAGAAATTTGAGACACTGGGTATAGGCAACTCTTTTAAGGAATCATTCTGTCGGAGGAAGAAATAATGGTAACAGAATCAGGTAGTAGAATGTTTGGATGCTGATGGGAATGAGCCAATGCTGTGAGAATAATTGATGATGTTGAAGATGGAAAAGAGAATGGTTGGAACATTGTCCTAGGGAATGTCTTCTAGTACACAAATGGACTTGGCCAGGAGCTAGACAGTTCATCCAGAATAAAAAGAGAGTAAGGAGTATATAAATGTACATACAAAATAGATATGGTAGTAGGAGGTTGTGGAAGTGTTTCTTTGCTTTTGCAGTGAAACAGAAAACAAGTTTATCAGCTGAGGGTTGTTGTTGTTGTGTGCCGTCAAGTTGGACCCGACTCATAGCAACCCCTCCTTGGATTTCCGAGGCGGTATCACTACGGAAGTAGATTGCCCAACCTTCCTTCCAAGGAGTGGCTAGTGGGTTTGAATCGCCAGCCTTCTCGTTAATAGTCAAGTGCCTCAGGCAGTACGCTACCAGAGCTCCCAGCTGAGGATTAAGATACTGAAAACTTTATATTTGCCTGTGTACCTTTTTGAGTTTGCTGTGGTGCCCAGGACAGTCTCAGCATACAATTTGAGTACTGTAGAGCTGGAGAAATATATTACTGGTTGGAATAAGAGTCCACTTGAGACGATGAATTTAAAAGGTGACTAGTTACTATGTTACTATTTTTTCCCTCTACCCATTTTTAGCTGTATGTGTACAGGTTGAAGAATTGAATTTAGTCAGGATTGTAATTAAGGATATAAATGATAGACAATGGAATTTTAGCTGGATAAGGAAGAAAGTGAAGATAAAGGGCTGTGGGATAGTAGAAATGTGGTAGAATTAATGGATAGTAGGCCTCGAGTATAGAGGTAATCAAAAGGTTGTTGGATTATTGTGTACTAGAGAGATGAGCTGAAAAGGTAAGAGTGGTGGTTAAGGAAAGAGATATTTTGTAACTGACTTTATGGAAAGATTGCAAATATTGGCAATGACAAGGTATAGGGTTTGACCCCACCCAGAGGTGCCTCAGAAGACAGTCCTGGCAATCTGCTTCCAAAAGGTTACAGCCTTGAAAACAACCCAGTGGAGCAGATCTGCTCTGCACACATGGAAGACAATCTCTTTGGAAAAGTTACCTACCTGAGAGGACAGACTATGAGAGGGACCATGTATGAGCATACTGAAGTCAAGAATTATGGCAGGAATTGTAAAAGAGAGTGAAAGTGAGCCAAGGGCTAAAATCTTCAGAGAATGAGGGACTGATCTGATGGTCAACAAATGACTGAAAAAGTTGGGATACTCTGAGAGGCAAAGCTGGCTGTTTTAAAGATGGAGGGAAGGATAATAGTCTGGGAGCAGCATGGAGGAGCAATGTCACTTACTTACCCCCTCCAAGCCTAATGGTGAGAAAAACTTGCGAGGTTAACAAGGGGAAGCAATTTGTCAGAAAAATCAGAGTTGAGAATCACAGTCATCGATAGTAAAAAAACCAACAGAAAGTCTTTGTAAACGGGTAGTCTTTACTTGTCTCCCATAAATCTTGACTTCAAGTTCTTTTACTACATATTGGAATACATATTGACACCTTCTGCAGTTATTTACTTTCATCACCATTCTAAGAAAATTGTTTATCCACTAAGCCCAATTATTGTAGAAGATTTTTAAGTTCACTTTGATCTTAATGCCATGTAGTTAATTATACTCTTATGTACCAAGACCTATAAAAGCTTTAAGTGAGCACAGCATATCCATATAGTTACCTGGTCTCCTCTTAATTTCAATGCTATTAATATAAAATCCATTTTGATCTTATCACAAGTTCCTGGAGAAATACAGTTTTTACATTTTACAGTTAATCAACATTATGGTCACAACCTTAATAATTATTTGTCATTTCATTAGTAATATCATAATCAGATAGATAAGACGTTAAGTAATGCTTAGTTTAGAAGGAGATAAATATCTTTATCATATGTATTAATTTTCATAGTTGATCTTTCAATTATATTTTATTAGTCTGTATCCATACATTGATATTAATTACTGGACCTTAAATCATACATATATTTTTAAACTGTTAGCTAGAGGTCCTCTTGCCCCCCTTATTCTTTCTCAGTTTTCCTTGCTAGTACTACTTTTGGTCTCATGAGAGCTTCAATTTGGTTTGTCTGACATATATTTTTCTCTTAAGATTGGATTAAATGTATAAATTCAGGGAAGGTGAATTCTGATACTGACCGTTATCCTTAAAACTGAGCAGCATCTCACTCAGTTTGTTCAGGATTTTAATGTCACTGCTGTTTTGAAGGTTTCCTCACCTAACGTGTATTGTTTGTGCCTACTTACTCTTCTTTGCCTCTTTTAAAACAGTTACTATGTATTCAGAATTTTCCGTTTTCATATTCAGAATACAAATATGCTCTGAAAAATAAAACATTATCACTTACCTTCAAACCCTCCAGCCACTCCTCAGAAGGAAGGTTGGGCAGTCCTACTTCCGTAGTGATACTGCCTCAGAAACCCAAAGAGGGGTCACTATGAGAGGGGCCGACTCAACGGCACATAACAACAACAACAACAATCACTTATCTTAATACAAATACCACAGCCAATACAAAGAGTTTCAGAAATCAGACAACATTCTCTTGAATATTGCTTTTTCTTTCATTATATTAAATCTTCTGATTAACTGTATTTGTGAAAACTATATATGTAAAATTTTGTGTTTGTCTTTTTTTTTAATTTGATTATCTTGCATATTTTTCAGATAATAGTATCATCTGCATATAGTGGTAATTTACATTCTCTTACCTAACTTTATGCTTTTAAACTATCTCTTAATTGAATTTGTTATAATTTTGTTAATTTTTCCTGTAATAGAAGTCCTGGATATTCTTTCTTACAATTATGGCGGACAAATTAACAAGAATTGCTATTGTCAACCATGACAAATGTAAACCTAAGAAATGTCGGCAAGAGTGCAAAAAGAGTTGCCCTGTAGTTCGAATGGGTAAGGTGTTCTGTGGATCATTTAAGATAAAAGAGAGTGTTAAAGAAATCACTTGTATTCATAGTTCTGTGGGGGCTTTAAAATGGGCTTTATTTTCCTCATCATTTTCTTTAAAATACAAAGATAAGAAAGCCAGTCTTTGTTCTAATTTTCTTTCATTGATTTGTGATTAATGATCCTGTTTTTTAAGAAAACAAATTATGGACTAATGTATTAACAATATTTAAATGTCAATTGAATGTGAGATCAAACCAGAGTTTAGTTTACTAAACTTCTTACTACTTTACAAAATTGTGTAAGGAACAAACTGCCTTCTCTTTGATGGTATACTCATCTTTAAAAACAGCAAGAAAAAGCTTAGTAGATATGACTCTTCATGATATTTTGGTTTTCAATATTAAATAAGTTTCCAGCAATTCAATGTTGATGAACTGTTTTCTACATTTATTTTTGGGGCATCACTGATACAGCTAACGTTTCATTCCATATTTTATTTCAAATTTTATTCCATTATCATTTCCAAGACATACCATATTTTTTCACAAATAACACACACTCACATGTAGCTTGCATAGGAAACTAATGTGGGAGGGATTGTGATGTTTGCAAAAAAAAAAAAAAAACCATGTAACTCATACATTTATTTGTGTAAAAATACAGTATTTTGTTTTGTGAATTAAAGGTTCAGGTTAGCTTAAAAATAACTTTTTCAGCATCTGTCATATTTTTGTTAGCAGTAGTAAATTTTTAAAAAATAAAAACATCTCTGTTCCTTGACACGAGGATTCATGTAAGTTAAAAAACAGAAATTTGATTCAGAAATTATCCCCACAGAGCATTGAGTTCAGACATTATCACAAATGGGTTGTTTGTTTGTTTGTATAATTTTATTTTTGCCTTTAAAAAAAACTGCTTCTGTATGGAACTTTGGAGCCAGCATTGCCTAGATGACAATGTTCAGAAAATTAGATTAGGAAAAAATGACTTAATTCTGTCTTTTCATTTACCAGGAAAACTATGTATAGAGGTTACACCCCAGAGCAAAATTGCGTGGATTTCTGAAACTCTTTGTATTGGTTGTGGTATTTGTATTAAGGTAAGTGATAATGTTTTATTTATCAGATCATATTTGTGTTCTGAACATGAAAATGGAAAATTCTGAATACATGGTAACTGTTTTAAAAGAGGCAAAATATAAAACATAATGAAGAATATAAATTTTGGAAAATAGTATTGTATCAATAATCAAATATTGCTTTTATAATTATTAACTAAACCATCATATTTAAAGTTATCTTTGCCTCATTCAACTTTGTAAAGTTCCATTTCCAGACTGCTGAGAAGGAAATTCTCCAACATGTCTTTATAGAACTTAAATTTTTTGTATCTACATAAAAGTTCTGTAAAGTCATGTTGGAGAATTTCCTTCTCAAAAAAGAGTCTAGAAGTGGAACTTTACAAAGTTGAATGAGACAAAGATAACTTTTAAATGTGATGGTTTAGTTAATGATTACAAAAGCAATATTTAATTGTTATATGTAATATGCTATATTTTTTGTATCTACATAAAACATAATGATCTTTATTTTAAATACTTCATGTTTCGGCTTTAATAATTAATTTTAAATGTATACTTTTTAAATACAAATGACCACAGCCAAAAAATTTTAAATGTAACCTAATTCTTAACTGTTTACACATTCTTCTATTGTTGAATTAATCCCAACAAGGTAATTTTAAAAAATATCGCAGTTTTCATTGCATTGAGTAGTTTGGTTATGGCTTTTAATATGAATTATGAATTTCACCTTTAGTTCATTAAAGAAATTTAAGGGCCAGTGCATAAAGTATGTTCTTAAGTTAGATATTTTTATTTGTAAATAATAATACATTATTCATCAGAGTATAGGTACCATTCTGTTCATACAAGTCATATATATTTTTTGCATTGGCTTCTGGTTAAGTATCCAGAAAGATTTCATAGATATCTAAAAATACACAGGAGCTCTGGTAGCATAGTGCCTACGGCACTTGACTGCTGACCAGAAAGCTGGAAGTTCAAACCCACCAGCCACTCCTCGGAAGGAAGGTTGGGCGATCTACTTCTGTAATGATACTGCGTTGGAAACCCAGGGAGGGGTCACTACCGACTCGACGCCCCATAACAACAACAACTAAAAATACCTTTCTTCCTTTTGAAAATGGGAGTATTTCAGCAGATATTTACTAATCTCTTATTCGATGTCCTAGGTAATGGGAACATGATTCTATTTTCTTTCTTTGCTTCTATAGCAAAATGAGATTTCCAAACTTCGAGTACGCACTTGAATGGCTGAAAAGATCCTAATTAGATAAATCTGTTGCAGGATTGAAGTATAATATATAATTCCTAAACACCAAAATACTTATAATATATCTCATATATGAACAGTGTAGATGTTTTTTGTTCTTGTAGATTTAGAGATGTTTAAATTACTTGCAGCTTATAAGCATTTTACATATAGTGGTGGAAAGAGGATAATAGAGAATTCTGTAAATGGGTAATTCAACAGGTATAAAAATAGAAATCATGTAAAGAATTAATAGTTATGGTTAGAGAGTGATAGATATTTTATTAAAAATAAAAGATTGTGTATGTGTTTATTTTAATGTTTTGTGTTTTTTTAAGTTATAAAATGGGAATTCACTGAAATCTTTATGCAGAGACTTTGAATTGGAGCCATGAGCACTCATTCAATACTTTGCTAAGCAGACCTCTAATAAAGTTATACTCTTTGAATGTACCTCTGTAGTCATCTTTAGTTTTGAGAAATTTTCAGTGTTGTTGTTTGCCATTAAGTAGATTACAACCTATAGTGATTTCTACAGGACAGATTAGAACTGCCCCCATAGGGTTTCCAATGCTATAATCATTATAGAAGCAGGCTGCCATTCTTTTTTCTGCAGAGTACTGATAGGTTCGAACTGCCAACCTTATGGTTACTCAAGCGTTAACTAAGCACTGTATCACCAGGGCTCCACATTACCACTCGCAAATACCTTTCCTGTTCTTGCCATTCTTTATCCTTAGACATTTATATGACAGTCAAATATCCTCTTCTGAGATTGAGTCTTTTTTTTTTTATTGAATTTACACATTGAAATTGAAGAAGCAGTTTTTTCATATGGAATGAATAAAAGTCACAACAGAAAGATATTAACCCTTGCTCTGTGCAAAGTATTATGCAAGCCTTCAGTGGATCATAAATTGCCAAAAAAGATACAATCCATGGCTTTAAAGGACTGTGTAAGATAGAAAAGGAATCATACAAGAAGAGGAATAATTGAAGGAAGAGAAGGAAAATATCTGTTATTGGCTGAAAATGGAATCATGTACTCAATAACCATTCTTTATCTTGCCTCTTAGCCTCTTTTATTCTATCTTTTAAAAGAAACAACTCAACTTCTGTAACGTTTTTCAACAAGTATTAAATGTTCATTAAATGCCTAGGTTTATACCAGTCACTCAGCAGAATATAAAATATGATTTGTGCCTTTAGGGAAATTGGATTTTTTTTTTTTAATAATGTCACATCTTTGTGAAACATCCATATTTGGAAAACTGCTTATGAAAACTTTTTAATCTATCCATTTTAGTCATGTGTATATTTCTACAAATTAATAAACAATTAATTCTTTACTTTAAATAACAGAAATGCCCCTTTGGCGCCTTATCAATTGTCAATTTACCAAGCAACTTGGAAAAAGAAACAACACATCGATATTGTGCCAATGCCTTCAAACTTCACAGGTATATTTTTAAGTCAACATTCTGCTTTACTTCAGTTAACATTAAGAATGAAATACATTTGGAATTTTCAGAGAAAAGAAAAAATAGAAATTGTATTAAACCATACACTGGAGAGTATTATATGGTAACTTCATGTGGAATCATATTGTTCCTTCTGGCTAATATTAGAATTACCTGGGGGACTTCTTAAAATGATTAATACCCAGGTTTACCTCAGATGAATTATATAACAATTTTTGGATTGTAGAGTGTGAGCCTCAGTAAATTTCAAAAGCTCCCAGGTGATTGTAATATACAACTGGAGGTGAGAATCACTGATGTGCATAGTACCTTATTCCCTGAAATGCCTTCGAAGAGCACTAATTTGTCTTTGATTTTATTTATCCATTAATTGTATAATCTTCAGAAACTATTGGTCTAAACTTGGACGTATATTACTAAATCACAAGTTAGTCCCTTGATTCTTAGAGATTTATATCTGCTGAACACTAGTATTTTGAATCTGGGATTCTAGTTTTAACTACTAAAAAGGTATTTCTTAACCTGCCAGCTTTCTCAGCCTACTGCAGCAGGGAGAATGAAGTGGAATATTTCTGGTTGATGAGGCACTTCTCTCCTTGTAAGTAAATGGCAGGCCAGGGAAAAAATAAAAAAAGACATTGTGAGGTTGCACTTGCTATGTAATTTCCTACCAGAGCATTTTATTATACATTAAAACTGAGCCTTATATGTAAAGAAGAAATGTTACCTTAGAGTGGACTTTAAATGGAAATTGAATAAATAAAATTTGGAGTAATATTGGTCACGGATGCATTTCTAACAATTAACAGTTTAGATTACTCTTGGCTGTTTTTTTCCTAATAGCCAATAATGTCTGGCATATATCTCTTAGCTTACTAATGGATGTGTATGGAGTGCAAATGCATTAAAATACATCATTCTTATATAGCTTTTTCTACCTAAGTCTGAGTTATTTTACTATTTTTGTATACTTGTAACAGATTGCCTATTCCTCGTCCAGGTGAAGTTTTGGGATTAGTTGGAACTAATGGGATTGGAAAATCAACTGCTTTAAAAATTTTAGCAGGAAAGCAAAAGCCAAACCTTGGAAAGTATGATGTATGTATTCTACCTTATTAAAATGATTATTTTGTATTGATTTTATGAAATTTAAAAGGGGGATGTTTGTGTTACTTTTCTTTGTTAATGTTCTTACATTTTCAAGATTCATGGACTTAATGCTGAGAAATAATATATAAATGAAGCCATTTCTTTTTAATTAAAATCTGCTAACGGTCATTAAGTGATAACTCTGAGCTTCCTGTTAGGGCTTGATAAGCCTTGATTTAAAATGATCCACCTCCAATCTTAAGGTTAAGTTAGAAGCCAAAAGTATTCTACTAGAATATTCTATTTTGTGTTGATGAAAATCTTAGCATATTAGGCTCTATTTTTAATGAGAAAATAATCTCTTTTGATATCATATTGGTCTTTGTTCTACTTTTGTAACCATCCTATTTGCAATTGTATTATTAAATGCATATAATTATTTGCTCTATTTGTAGGATCCACCTGACTGGCAAGAAATTTTGACTTACTTCCGAGGATCTGAACTGCAAAATTACTTTACCAAGATTCTAGAAGATGACCTAAAAGCTATTATCAAACCTCAATATGTGGACCAGATTCCCAAGGCTGCAAAGGTCATTTCCTTTTTAGGAAGAATTTTTATATTGTAAATATAAAACATATATCAAAGCAAACTTATTTTACCTTTTGACTCTTAAATATAGAAGAAAAATAGTGATAACGATTTCTGATCTATCATGACACAGGGGACAGTGGGATCTATTTTAGACCGAAAGGATGAAACAAAGACACAGGCAATTGTTTGTCAACAACTTGGTAAGTGTTTATTTTGTGTGTGTGTTTTAATAGGCCCTGAGTTTAAGTCACCAAGTTACACATGTTGATACGGATTACTGAAATAAATGGGAAAATTTCGAGTAATTGTCTTATATACTTTTTATGTTACGTGATTTTCAACTGAAATATTCAAACTCATGAATGATATGAAATAACATGCAGTACACATTTTGCCTGGAAAAGGTAAAATAATAAAACTTTTAACATTGAGCGCAATACCTGTATGTTCTTTGTAGATTTAACCCATCTAAAAGAACGAAATGTTGAAGATCTTTCTGGAGGAGAGTTGCAGAGATTTGCTTGTGCTGTTGTTTGCATACAGAAAGCTGATATGTAGGTTACATTTACCTCTTTTGTATGTTTTAATCATTATTTTAAGAGTTTTGCTTCTTAATGCTGCTAATAAGGCAGTGGTTTTGAGAGAAATTAATAACAATAGTATCTAAGGCCCTAATTTCAAGATATGATGAAGTGTCATTTATCCACCTCTCCTTCTCCCTGATGTTCATTTCTGTAGGGGAAAGATGTTTTTTTTGTTTTTGTTTTTGTTTTTTTCCCTCTATATAAGTAATTTACAATTTAGGAATGGATTGCAGAGCTCTTATGTAAAGTCAGTTGTTTAATATGTAAACCCCCTTTTTGCATATTAAAGAATGTTTTATGAATTAAGCTCTCTGACCAGGCCAGGAAGCTTTTTAAATGTCTCAAGTAGAACAGAAAGTCTAAAATCCTTGGTCAGCATGGAATGGCATATGAAGGAGAAAAGGAAAGAAAAACAATAGCAAGTTTTTTGCATATGTTTTAGTAGCTGCTCTAAGATATTTATCCTTCCCATCCGTTTCTGCATTTTCATGGTGGCATCCAGTGCACCTGCACAAATTATTCTATGAATTGTGTCATGCTCTCCTTTAAAAAGCTCTAGTCACTTTAATACAATTGACTAGCTAATTAAAAGAAAATTTTTCTGAGCATGCTTCAAACTCTATCAATACTCTTTTTGAGGCGGCTACCAATTTGTAAGTTGGCCTGTTGGAGGCTCTCCCCAGACTTGGTCACTAGTCCTGCTCTTCATAATTTTTTCTTCTTTCTGAACAGGCTACAGGTGTTTTCATCAGTATGAGGTGAACTTTCACTGGTGTATGAGGGGATTTTTATTGTTTAACCAGAGACTATGTATATTATAATCCTTTGATATAAGATAGAATTAGGTCATATTTATTATTCCAATTTGTTATATTTTCTTTTCTTTTTTAATATAGTTTCATGTTTGATGAACCTTCTAGTTACCTAGATGTCAAGCAGCGTTTAAAAGCTGCAATTACTATACGATCTCTAATAAATCCAGATAGGTAAGTACAGATTTGATATTTGCTTTTGTTGTTTTATTTGGGGAGTTTTACAGATCTCTGAAGATTAAACACTGGAACCATTCATTAATGTAATGTACATGTTTTCCAGTTTTGTTATAGCTTCCACCTGAAATGTATCTTCCTCTGTCTAGAACAGAGATTCTAGTGCAACATACATTTATCGCCACCCATTCCCAGGGAGCCTAGGAATACTCTCAAATTATATGCAAATGTTGACATATAGGTGTGGCTTTCTGGGAAGCAGAGAGCCATAGCTTTTATCCCATGTTCAAATGGATATGTGACATCCCATTAAAAAACTAGAAAAAAAATAATCTAGATCATGGTAAGATGTGCCAGAGTAATTCCATTTGTTCATGATCTTGCCAAGGAAAAGAAAATTCTTAGTAACCTTTGTTAAGTAATCATAACACCTATATTTGTGTGATGCTTTTATAGTTTACAGAATTTTTAAATCCATTGTCTCCTTTGATCTTCATGGTCATCTGATGAGTTAGAATCTTCAGGTGGTATTCCTATTTCATAAATGAAGACTTTTAGAATCAGAAAAGCTAGTTATTTGCTCTCAGTTACACATTTGCTGAATGGGAAAACTATGACCAGAATCGATGGTGTTTTTCTATATAGCATTTTATACACTACATTGCCTCTCCTTAATCACTTGTTTAATAAATATCCTTTTAAATGCAAGGTTGATCTTACAAGAAAGCAAGGTAAATCCCTAGGGATCAAAAAACAAAGGGAACTATAACTCAAAGAGGAGGTATGAGGGTATGGCTCTCTTGAGGGGTGTTGCTGGTGTTTTAACACTTGAGAGCAAGAAGCAAGGCCTTGTAGTGGATAATGATACATAAAATACTAAAACCCTCTAAGGATTGACTGCTTTCTTGGCAAAAAGGAATACTGAAAACAAAAAAAAATTGCCTATCAGCACATGGAAATACTAAAGAATCAACTATCTGTCACTCACTAAGTTCATTGAGAATGGAAGGATGATTCCCCTTCAGATCTCTATTGATGGGCCTGCAGTTTCCATGGGTATAAAGTTGAAATCTATTTAATTCATTTAACCAGTGGAATATAAAAACCCTCCAAGCTGAGAAATTAATATGAAAGGGGGAGGCAGAGTCCTCAAATTTCAACTAGAAAACCACTCTGGAAGGATATCCTCTAAACTGTGGTCACATAGGAAATGAAACTCATAGGAAAAAAAGAAAGTCATAGGTAATATTATTTACCATATGTATAATTTTTAAAATACTGAATAATGCCCTAATTATAATAAAAAGGAGAATTAAAAGGAAAATAATTTTCAACCAGATGGCATGTATTTTATTTTTTATTTTTTATTTATTTTTTATTTATTGTGATTTGAGTGAAGATTTACAGAGCAAATTCACTTTCCATACAGCAGTTCACATATACTTTCTCTCATGTCGTTAACCACAGTTTACCACAATGCAACAGCTCCCCTCCCACTTCCTCCCCATAGGTACCACTTCCCAGTGTCCATCCCTCCATACTCTCC